GCTCGAGCTCCTGTCGCTTCAGCTTGGATAGGAACGGGTCGGAGTTGGCGAGGTCCTCTCTCTTCTCGCCCTGGGCCTTCTCGCTCACGGCTGCTCGGTCTTCACGCTCGGCCAGCCAGGCAGCGGCGGGCGGTAAAAGGAGCTAGGAGGGGCGCGCTACGCCTTAAACTACCTCCCAGACACGTAAGAGACCATTCAACGCGAGCGCGCTTCGGGCTGAGGAGCTTTGGGACCTAAACTAGGAAGTGAGGGGAACACTGCTTGCGATTTGTCATGTTCGCAGCTCAGTTTTCCAAAACTCAAGAAGGACACTTGCGATTTGTTCCTTTTGGAAGCTCAATTTTCCAAAAAGGACATCATTTCGGGAGCTCAGTTTTCCAAAAAATTAAGAGGGAACAGTGCTTGCGATTTGTCATTTTGGGAGCTCAGTTTTCCAAAAACTTAACACTGCTTGCGATTTGTCATTTTGGAAACTCAACCAAGAAATTGTATTTTACGCAAGCTTCAGCAAGTCCATCCACCAACCTCCAGCAACAACCACCTTAACAATCACCCCTCCAAACTACAGACAACCAAGGACAAGACAGTTATAGATTTGATGTTTTCCTAACCCCCTACCTCTGCTTATTTTAGCAAGTTATGTAACAAAACCATTATTTCATATCAGCTCTCTTTCCCTCTGCAGCTCTGCTCTACATTGCTCCACCTCCGAAAATAGTCCAGCTCGAGATGTCCGTGCATAAACGTCAGTCGAGTTTGTTTGTGTCACGATGCTGAAGCAGATTGACTGTTGCTTTAAGGGACCATTCCTCAGAGGATTGTGTTCACAAGATGCATCGGCAGTAGGAATCAGCCTGTTCAGTGATAGCGATGGTGAAGCTGTGGGTGTCTGCCGGAGGAAAGCCGGCAACCAAGATCAACGTCAGCAACGATTCGGATATCGACGACGTAAAGGGAATTCTCTTTCCAGATGTGCCCATTGCCAAGCGCGGCGACATCACCATCAAGCTCAAAGAGGATGGCAAGGTACTGTAGTTCCAAAACATCAAAACACCCAAAACCCGACCAAAATCCTGTATTGCTTGAGGCATTGGAAGTCGATGCGACGATCGAGAGCCTCTTGAAGAAAGGTGGTGGCACCAACAAAGACAACGCCCTGTACGTGCACTTCGACGAGCCATCAGCATCCATCGACCAGCAGCAGGTTCAAATTTGGGCAAAGTACTGTGGGGGTTAAGGGTGCTGTTCGCATGGTGGTTATGAAAAACATTGTTTGTAAAATGAAAGGAGAATGTTTCGTGTAGAGGGTTGTGTTTACGTCGTAGCCAGCAGCTTCATCCACGGACCAACACGTTCGCCATCATCATCATCATCCCCTTTCATTCCAGGATTCCGGCACAGTTGCACGACGACTGGAGAAGATTGATGAGAAACTGGAACTTCTGTTGGAGCAGCAAGAAAGAAGTGCTGAACGGGCTGAACGTATGGAAGAACGTATGGAAGCTCTGACACACGTGGCCGGCATGCTTGCCCCAGCTACAGCGGTTGGGACCCAGATTGGAGGAACAGAGTGATGCAGCACTACCGCGTTAAGTACTGTGCTTTCTTGCGCTCGCTTTTGCAGAAGGCCGATTGGCAAGGCTTTGCCTTTTGGCCGTTTAAGGCCATCAAAGACAGCACAGTCGGTGAACATGTTTTTCCAAAGGACCTCAAGTATGCTCTGTTGGGCAGACAGGCAGAGATAGAGATCTGGTCACCTAGAAACGGGCTCCCTGTTTTGAAAGGCATTGAGGATGAACTTGGGAAGGGCAACATTCAGCTTCTGCCTAACACAAGCAATCCTGGACCGAGTTGCGTTTTGGACGTGTATGTTGCTGCTCTGATACGGAACCAAATTATCACTACTTCTTGTGAAGAGTGGGAAAACCCGAAGGACATTCGCAAGCGAAGGACACTTAGAGATGAGATTTGGGTTTTCAAAGGCGACTCTTGGCGCCAAGTGACTTTTGGAGATCTACACGAGGGCACAGTGAGGCTGAGCGAGATGCCTTTCCATCGAGCTCTTTACCATAAAGCATTGATGGCTTTCAATGTCCATCCTGAGGAGTTTGCCCACCCAGCTACTCGCTGGCGGACGTTCTTGGGACAGTGTGGCAAAATGGAGTTGCTCCAGAAGCTCGGCCTCGCCCCGCATGTAGCATCGACACCTTGCCTCGCAAAAAGTCGCCAGGGGAGCCAACAAGCACACAGCCGGCGCTGTTCCCGTGAAGGGGGCAGCGAATAGGACGTGCTTCAGCTTCCCGTGTCGCAAAAAACAGACTTGGTTCGAGCTTGCTCAGTGCCACAAGTTACTTTTCTGGGATTCTAGGGGTTCTTAGTCATAAGGTTTTACGCCTGTCCCAGGTGCTCTCACTTTGACGCTGCCGAGGCCCCTGGGTCCCTGAGAGTGTGGGTTGCCCGGTTTCGTGCAGTTTTCTGGCTCTCCCAAACGTTTTGGCTCATCTTGGTGCTGCCGCGGCGTGCAGCGTGCAGGAGGCCGAGAGGGGATTTACAGGGCTGCTCTAGGGGGTTGCTCGAGTCGTTGGTGCTTTTGTGGCTTCGCGAACAACATCCCGATGTCGTTTGCAGCCTCAACTTTCCCTGCACCCTTGGCACCTGGCACGTTTGGGTTTGGGGAAGGTGCCGGCGGCACCCTGGCACCTGGCACCTTTGGGTTTGGGGAAGGTGCCGGCGGCGCCGGCTTTGAATTTGACCAAGGTGCCGGCGGCGTTTTGAGGGGAAGGGGTTGGGAGGCTGGGAAGGGGAACCATACGAGGCGGCCACATAAAAGTACGAAATCCTCTGTGCCGGCACACCCTTGGCACCTGGCACCTTTGGGTTTTCCTGGAGCCAAAGGCGCCAGGTGGCAAGGGTGCCGCTGGCACCTTGCCTGGAGCCAGGCGGCAAAGGTCGCTGGCACCTTTCCTGCATGCGCTAGTTCTTCCCTTTTAAGTTCCTAAGCCGCCAAGCCCCTCAACCCCTAAGCGCGCCCCTCCCAAGCCCCAAAGCTCCTCAGCCCGAAGCGCGCTCGCGTTGAGGGGCCTCTTAGGTGTCTGGGAGGTAGTTTAAGGCGTTGAGGGGCCTCTAAGGTGTTTGTGAGGGGTTTCGGATGCAGTTTAAGGGCCGTTGAAGGGCCTCTAAGGTGTCTGTGAGGGGTTTAGGATGCAGTTTGCGGGCCGTTGAGGGGCCTCTACCGGTGCCGGCCCTCAGTTGTGAAAGTTTCGTTAGCTTGCTGAGCGAGTGCATAACCGAGGCCGGGACTGGCGACACAGACGCAGTGGCGAAGGCTCGCATCGCAGAGCCAAGGCCTGCCCACGCGTTGGGGACTGGAGTCGATCATGCAAGGGAGCGCCGTCGGCGCTGTGCTCGATTTCAAGTTTGATGGAGATAGGGTCGGCCGCTCACCGGATGCAAGGGCTGCATGACTGCATGTTGCCAAAATCGGGGGAAAGGCCGCCGCAGCGCAGCGTGCCCGGCACGCCTGGGCTTGCGAGCAGTGACGGTGGCCTCGGCCTTGGTCATGCCCCATCACGTGCGACTGGCTTCGTGGCTCATAGTGCACCCAGCTCCAAAGCAAAGCGCGTTCGGGTGGAAGCCCTGGGGCCCTATCAGGCCCCCCCACCAGATGCCGTTGAGCTTGCCTTGCTGCCTGCTCAGCCGCAGCAGGCCCGACCGGTCTACCAAACCTCTCTAAAGCAAACCCTGTGTGGATGCAGACAATTTCACGAGAGCTGCGTTTCTGCTTTGACATTCTCTTCGGTTGCTGCTTGGCCGTCGCAGCCTAGTACAGATGAAATCCTCAACACCTGAAACCCATTACCAAATCGCCAATCTTCGCAGCGTGCCGTGAAGTCGGCGCGTCTTGATCGGACTGGGCGACCGCACTTGTTTTCATTTCTTCCAAAATACTCCTGGGCGGAGGCCTTTGAAAGCCCCTCCTGGCATTGCAAAGCAAGCCAAAGCAATAACAGGACACAGCTTTCACAGAGCAAGGCCATGCAAAACCTTGCTGCGTCACCACAAGAGGTGCAAGGCTGGTTGCAACGTCTTGCCGCCGCGGTCGCCCGATGGCCGGTACTAACAGCCGTGTTGCTCGGCTGTGCCAAGATACCGAAGATCCTCAGGCCTGCGCCTGGAACCTTCACTGGACTAGAAGTTACGTGGAAGTGGCATAGGCATAATCCCGGAACATTCGACGTGTCAGTTTGCCCGCAAAGTCATCGAGGCTTGTCACTGTCTAGGGCCTCTCGATGCACGTCTGCACTCGCAGTCATTTGGGCCTTGGCAGCCAGCTCACCGAGGCTTTCTTGCAGCATCAAGGCGGCACTCGCGGATTTGGTTGTACAGGTGGGACGCTCTGCGAGTCGCCAAGCCGAGCCAAGATGCTTCGAAGCAGTCCTCACTCAGCCCTCGAAACTGAAATCGTTTTCTGTCACTCCAAGTCAGAAGGCTTGCGCAGCATGCGGGCAGGTGCTGATCGAGCGTCGAGACAAGCTTGACAAGCAGCGGAACTTCCTGCTCGAACCTTGGGTACTCATCGATTTCATGGCGGCTGCGCGCGGCTGCTCAGGTTCATGGGGTTTGGAGGACTCGTACAGGGAGGTTTCCAGTATTTCCTTTGGAACGTCCGAGCCTCAGGCCTGAAGGCCTCGGCACGTCGCGCAGATGCAAAGGTTGAAGCAGAAAGCTTCAGACCCTGACCGGTCGATCACATGTGGACTGCACTCCGGAGTTGGCTGTCTGGCTGTCAGTGATCGAGGTCATTTTCGAACGAATTTGGCCGGGAAGAAGCAAGCTGGCCAGCTTCTGTAAGTTGGCTGTGCCTCGGTCATTTATTGGGGTTCCAGGATCTCCCACCAGTTTGGGCTCCCTTTTGCTGTCATGTGGAGCAGGGATCCACGATATGCAAGACCTTACAGTTTCATGTACAGCAAGTCAAGGTCATTCCTTAGCATGCGACCTCACCCGAAAGAGAGCGGCACTTCCTCAATGAAAGATTGTCACGCTGATGCTGCTAGCTCCAGGCTACAAACTTCATCTCGGATCCGTTCTTCCTTCTTCCCTCCTTCTATGTCATGAAGGAGGCTGAAGATTCCTTAGTCCTTGTTTCGTTGCTGCAGGGTTTAGGCATGTAGGGCTTCGAGTGGAACATACACCTCCCCGAGCTTCGCAAGCATCGTGGTGGATTCTGGGCTCTCGCCGTCTGCTTTTGATTTGTGGTGCTCGGAGAGTTTTGAGTTGGCTACTGGTATTGATGCCAGGCTGCAAAGGCGCGGACAGCCAGCGAAGCGCTGGCCGCAGCATTCACGAAGCGGGGGTTCTCAGAAAGGGGATCGTGAAGCGTACGGTCGAGATATACTGAGTCAGACGATAAACTTGTGGGAAGATCAAGCCTTCTCTTGGTTTACGATTGCCCAGTTTTGGCGACTGCAGGTACCGTGCAAACTGCGTCCAGGACTGGACGATGAGCTGGATGGTGTGGCTGCCAGGCATGCTCTATCCTGCTCCCAGTGAATGTCCACCAGAAGCCTCGACGTCAGGGCATTACGTGACTTACTTCTGGCTCTGCTCTGAGCGATGCTATCAGCTATCAGTCTGCGAAAAGAAGGTGAGGCTTTTGTGCGAAGCTTCTGGCCCAAAGGTTACCACTCCACTTGCGAGTGCCGCAGGCTCAGGCTCTGGCAAAGCTCTCACAAAGCTGTGATAGCTGATCGCTTGCGGAGACGCGCACCAAGGCCCTGGGTGGCCCTGTAAGGGCTGTGAGAGCCTCTAAGGTGTGGGACGGCCTGGGAGGTATTTAAGGCGTTGAGGGGCCTCTAGGGTCTGGGAGGTAGGTTAAGGTTGGCCTTCAAGGCGTAGAAGCTCCTCAGCCCCTAAGCGCGCCCCTCCTAAGCCCCTAAGGTCCTCAGCCCCTAAGCGCGCCCCTCCTAGCTCCTTTTACCGCCCGCCGCTGCCTGGCTGGCCGAGCGTGAAGACCGAGCAGCCGTGAGCGAGAAGGCCCAGGGCGAGAAGAGAGAGGACCTCGCCAACTCCGACCCGTTCCTATTCAAGCTGAAGCGACAGGAGCTCGAGC